CTGGGCTCGGCCATCCAGCCAGCTCTTTACTGATGAACTAGATGTTTTAAAGGAAGTTTTCTAGAGGTAGGGAACAAGGATGGGCAATGTGGGTGTCTTGGAGTTCATCTTTGTTTTCAGCTGCTAACTCTCAGTATGTTTCCCTTTCAGCTATTTCAGAATCTGAAAAACTTAATGAATCCTTATAGGGTTGCCTTTGAGTCTCCACTTGAACTATCAGCTCAAGGTAATTTATTTTCTGTACAAAGACATACACCTTCCTAATCAGCCTGCCTCCTTCCATGGGCAGCTTCCTGAAAAAGCAATTTTGAGCTCCCTTAAGTCCTGCCATGGTCATCCTTTTGCTTGTAAGCACCTTGTTGCTGAACCTTGTTTTCCCCTTGCAATTCCTCCATGTTCATGTTTCGTCTCTCCTGTTTGTTGTGCCTGAAGCTGCAGAGCCCCCTCCCAGGCTACTGGTGGTGGCAAAGTAGCCTAAATAGTAGGTAGCGTTCCAGGCTGAGTTTAGAAAATTTGTTGTATTACTGAGGCGTGTGAAGTCTGTGGGAGGAATGCATGTGGGAGCAGAACATTTTCGGTAACCAAGTGTGCAGAGGTCTCTTACTGGTACCTAGTTATCATCAACAAGCAACTGGGATGTAGCCCATTGTAGCCGTTCTACATCTCAGTCCACTTTGGTTTGGTTTTTTGTTTTTTGCGGGGTTTATTTGCCTGTAGCTCCAGATATTTCAAGGGGCTATAGAATTTTTCCTGTTCTTTGGTCAATGAAAGTAATTCTGGGTTCAGTTTCATAAGCAACATATAGTCACCGTATTCTGAAGGCAACTTCAGAATATTTTATCAGTTATTTTATCTTCACTGTAGTCCTTGGTACTTTGTTTTTGTGGAAGATAAAAATGTGCGGTGTTAGGCAATAAGCACTGTGGATGCTTCCTCTGCTGCTCGCAGCTGGCATCAGCACTGATGGGTTATTCTTAACTCCTACTTATTGTCATGGGAATGTACGGGAGTTGAGCACGTTCATGCTGCGCTGGGTTCTCTGTGCACGTCCTGCTGAGGTTTGGACCCAGCTTTATACAGTGCTTGCACAGATCCCAGCTCGTACGCTCGTACATGTGTGCCAAGAAGTAACTTACAGGGCAATTCCCGGGTTTATATTCAGCTTGGCAGGTAAGGCAGCGGGTTCTGTGCACATGCATTTAAGCAGCTGATCTTCCAGGAGGCTGGGCTGAAGAATATGTCTGAATTTATCCCCTTGATCAATCTGGGACGTGCTAATAGTGTAACCTCTCTAATCCTGTGCAAAGTCATCTGAAACTAATCTTAATCAGGCCTCAAAAGCGAAAATCCCCTCCTTGAGCCTCGTCTCCGAGCCCTGGGTTGTTTGCCCGTGTGTTTTCAAATGCACTTGCCACCTCCTGTGCATGGCTTCAGTCTGCCACTGCCTTGTGAGGACTGCCCGCCTTCAGTCAGAGGTGCCAGGGGTGCAGAACTTGCATTAGAGTGTCCTGTTGAGCTCACTGCTGTGAGAAGAGACCACTCTGCAGGACGGAGACAGCCTGTCACAATTTTTTTTTAATTTTCAATGTTAATTATTTTTAATGCTTCCCACAAATCTTTACAATGAGTTTACTCTTGGTTTGTAATTTTCTGAAGTCCCTGTGCCAGGGACCTGTTGTCTGATACCCTGCAGTCCCCAACCCCCCCCCTTCTGCAGTCAGTGCAGAGAGGTCAAAGTCTGGAGACAGGCTTTGCGTTCGGTTCCTGCCCCCACGGACAAACCCTGTCGGCGGATTATTAAGGAGCCTTTCATGGTTTGAGAAGATCTAAAAAGACGTTTGCTTCTCACGGGCACCTTCATGTGCCCTGGGTAGGTGCTGAATGTCGGTATTTCCCAAATGAGGCATGTGGACGGGCTCTCCCATGCCTCTACGTATAGGTGGGTTGGGGTCATTTTGCTGCTGCAGCCTCTCACGTTGCTCCCTTGTGCTGCAGGGTGTAACCCCTCTGCTTCATTTCACTTCTCCCAGGTAAGCAAATGATTGAGACTTACTTTGACTTCCGCCTTTACCGCCTGTGGAAGACCCGCCAGCACTCTAAACTATTGGATTACGATGACATTTTATGAGCTGGAGAAGACTTTGCAAGAGGAAGTTGATCACCAGTGTCCAAGAAGTCATGCTTATTGCAGAGGGACTTTTTTATTGGCACAGGGAGCCCTTCAAAGCCCTACAGGAGGCAGCAGTGCTAAAGGGAGGGAAGAAGGAGCCCTCAGAAGTGTGTCGGGAGGAAAGTCTCCTGGGTCAAGAGGGACTGGAGGGAAAGGGTTTGACACCTCACTTGCCTCGGGTCAGAGCCGTGGTGTCTCAGGAGGAGCTGTGTGATGAAACGAGGACAGGATGGAGTTCCTTGCAGAACTGAGCTGTTTTTGGGTCAGATTTGATTCCAGGTCCTTTTAAAGACTTTAGAAGCTCAGGTTTTCTTACAAAAAATAAAATCAATTACCCATGCACTACAATGAAGAAGTGACCAGAGCACAGAGGAAGGAGCGGTTTGTACTTGATGGGACCTTCTGTGCTGGAGATCTTGGAGAGCAAGGACTGCTACCCTTACTCCTGCAAGCTTAGACTAAGACGATCCAGTTTCAATGTGAATATATACTGGAATATAGAATTGAAATCTTAACTTTTTTTTTTGTTTTGTTTAATAGAAAATAAGTGCAATTTTTATAGCGAGGGGGGTGAAATCTCTCCCAATATTTAATTAGTTAAAAATAACACACCAGTAACCAATAGATGAGGTATTTTTGGTCTGCTTGAAAATATATTCAAAATGGTAATATATCTTCTGTAGACATATTTAATCACCAGCAAACATGGTTTTAACATAACTTAGCAGACCCTGCATGTCTGCTGCATTGATTAATCCGGTTTGGTTCGTTACTTTCAGAGTAGCTGTGTTGCACTAATTGTATGTGCTCTCACGAGTGTGTATTTCTCCTCCAATTAGACACAACTTTGTTACTTTCTATTTTGCTGCTTGCAAAACTATGGGACTTTAGTTTTGCTGAAATACTTTAGGTTAGAAATATGGTACCTGGCTGAGAAACCGCCGTCAGGTTCCCTAGGTATAAAAACGAATTAGAAATTAATAGCCATGGTAATTAGTTGTTCACGCCAGTGTTTTGCTCTGTGTTGAGGGACGAGTTCTCTTTCTAGTCCGCTGCGTGGAGCAGCGTGGTTACACGACTGTCAGAAACCCTCCGAGGAGACCGTTCACTGAGGCTTTTGGAAGAAATGCTTCTGGAGGAATACGGCGTGGGTTCGTACCATGAGTTTGAATCTTCCCTATGTTCACTTGATTGCCAGTTGTTTGTGCATAAACCACCTCTTTTCCAGCGCTGAAAAGACCAGTTTATTGGTCTGAGCTGCTCATGTCCCTTCCTGCGTAGGACAGAGTAAACCCAGAGCTTCGTCAGAGCAGCCGTGGTTTGAGCACCCAGATTTGTACTTGGTATTTGAGGATATATTTTGGAAAGTATTTAC